ACCTTTTCCAGAAATTCCTTTTTTGACATTTGAAAGAAACGCACCAGAGGCAAGAAATCCTTCAATGTGTTTGCTAACGTTTTTAAACTATAACTTTCTTCTTACTTACTTACTTACGTACAGAAACAATAAAAATTAACCCATTTGGAACAGCAGATTACCTTTGTAGCTTTAATCATATTATCAAAGTTCTAGATCCCGCAAGGCTGACGTAGTCCATGAATTTTATTGTCAGAATTCAAAGCTATTGATGCCATCATGACTCATCAAATCACTGTCTCGATAGCTGTAAATATTATACTGTACTGAATTTGCTAATGCCCTTGTAATTGTTTACAAAAAAACTGAGTGGTCGTTTTATAGTATGTGATATTATATTTGTTACTGCGATATTTGTTTACATTTTATTTGCAGACGCCCACCAAGACTATAAGCTTGTGAAAATGACGCGATACAACTTAAATTTTACAGATTACAATTACATGACATAATTGCCTACACAATTGTGTTTACAACTTCAACTATTCCAAAATTGTGCATAAGTTTCAGTCGATCTATAACAAAAATTTAATTTAAACGGTTGGTTTTGCTAAATGTATGTATTGATATAAATCGTTTAGTTCGTTAAACCGTTTAATATGGCTATTCTGTTTTGGTTGTCATGGACGTTACTCTATATAAAGGTTGAAACTTGATTTAAACCCAATGTCTACAGTTGACTATTGGTACAGCCTAGTTCGTTTCCTGCCTCTTATTTATACATGTCGGTTAGTCTTTCGTGATCGACATATCAGAGCGCCATCATGTAACACCTGTCCATCATCACATGCCCTCTCTTGTATCGCTTTATGACTATTAAACAAGTTTCTACTATTATTATTATGATTGTTGCTTAGATTGCATATTGCTGGCCACAAGCTTCAGAAATAGGTTGGGGGAAAAATTTTTAATTTTCTTCCTGCTGGGACGCTATTAATTAATATATAACATGGGACAAACATGTCGTATTTTGCCATGCAAAATGATTATCAACAGTTACGATAAATGTACTGTATTATACTATAAATAATTTTACATACCGTAATTATCGGCGTTGCTCTTGGTGTATTTACATTACACACCAATGGTGACTTGCAACGTTAACCACTTCCGCCCGCCTAAGTAACACTAGCTATACTATAAATAGAATGGTACGTTGTAATATTTACAACTTATGGCGGTTATTCCTCTTCCTATATAAAGTAAAGGAGGTTTATATTATCAACATCTATTGTTCATAGTAGATTATCGTTGTCAACATTCAGTCGGTTGCAACCGCTCTTCTACGCTGAATGAATCTGTCACATGCCTCAAAACACCAACCAATCAAAGTTTTGTAGTCGGGTCTGTCGGAAGTAACATAACATCAGCGATTACGTTACACCATCCATCATCCGAAATGGGAATGGCAAACGGAAGGTCGACAATTCATTAAACGAATAACAAACAACTTATGTGCTCGTTATCAAATTGAGAATTTGACATTGTCTATTTGCATTCAGGTATATGTTGGACAGCAATGAGTTGCAACTTATTTGTTAATTAAATCGCACACACTGTTTGAATCAAAATTGTTTGCCCCTGACTATTTTGTTTGGCAATCCATACTAATACCGTTTGAATAGATTTGAAAAAAAAATATTTTAAGAATAGAGTTTTTACTATTGCGGTGGGTGAAGTTAAAGTTGTGCGACATAACGATCAAAAGAAAACGGGATCTCCTAAAAACCTTTATTTTACACCGCATATTTTAATACTGTACAAGCTTCGATTTGGAAGGTTGAAACAATGTAACATATACACACGGTAAAATGCAATGATTAGTCATGACATCTTTTTGGTATCAAATGTAGAGAGAGAAATTTTGCCCTTGACAATCGTAAAAGCTATATACCACATGTATGGTACTATTTAATAGGAAATATGCCGAGATGTAACTTGGCAAGTTCTCATTTATAGAAAAAGTACCGATATATACTTAGCAATATCGCCACATCAGCCCCTTATCGATATTCACGTATAAATAATTATCCATGTACGTAACCGCTTTAATTTTTACTGACCAAGCAATACTTTTTGTGGGGAAAAAGGGGGGCGGTTTCTGTGCCACACGTTCTCGATAATTTTGTTTCACACTATTGTCTAGTGAACCCATACAAAGCCTCGTATGGCTCTTCAACAAACGTATTTGCTCTCACACACATTCAACACATTCAACACACTCCATAGTGCACAGTAGTATATATACGTTCAATCATTCATACATCTCCATAACCATTTTAATCGTGCTACAGTTGGTTCGCATTTAAAAGACACCATCCTCTCCCGAAAATTACCATCATTCTCCCGGCTTTTTGTAAACAATGGAAAAGAATTTATTGACAAAACTATCTAATGAAATAGTTACGCTCCTCAAACATGAAGATACTTGCGATATCGTTATTATAGCCGGAATGGGTATGGATCAAATGCAGTTCAAAGGCCACTCGTTGATATTATGCGCTCGATCAGAATACTTTGCTGAAACAATCAAACAAAGAATGAATGTTAAAGAAGATGGATTGCAATTGTATCGTGACTCTTTTATTGACTTGAGTAATATACCATCGAGTTTATTTGAACTCATTTTCAGGTATGAACAAGTGCAAAGTCGGGAAGGGAAACCTCTCTCTAAGACGCTAGAACACTCTGACCCTTGCTATTTCCTTATCAGATATCTTATTATTCCTCGATAGTTTGCTCTCAAATTGTTCAAGCATACGTTTTTTGTCTTTTGATACTGAGCACATATTCTGAATTGAGCATCAGAAAATTATCTTCTAAATTTCAGTGTGAGAAAGAATAAGTATTTTCGCAATCGCTTCTCGTCAAGCATAAGGCTATATACCACTTATAATTACGAAGAATCGTGTAGTAAAGTGTCTGTTTGCTGCGCCTTATTCTTACTTATCGACAACATGTGATTTCTTTCTAATTCTTATGTAACAGATATCTCTACTCTGGAGTCATCGACCTAAGTAAACTTACCGTCGACACTATTTTTACTCTTATTGACCCTCTTCATGAATTGCATCTGCACGAGTTGATAGACTACATTCAAGAGTACCTCATCACTAATCGACATCGATGGATTTACACAGAGTTCATTTCTACTTATTACATTCTGTCGGACATCAAACACATACCAAAATTCCGTCAATTCGTCAATGAATTACTATGCACCTCACCTGAATTACTACTCAGGTCAGAAGATTTTACTATTATTGACGAAGATTTATTAACAGATCTACTTAGAAGAGATGATCTTAACATGCCAACAGCGGAAATATGGGACAGGTTACTGGAATGGGCAGCGGCTAATCCCATTATGCCCGCGGACACGACCTTGTCACAAGAAAAAACATTAGCAAACACATTGAAGGATTTCTTGCCTCTGGTGCGTTTCTTTCAAATGTCAAAAAAGGAATTTCTGGAAAAGGT